GGTTTTGCTATGTTGGCCAGACTATTCTCGGACTCCTGGCCACAAGTGGTCTCCCTGTGTTGGCCTCCCAAAGTGCTGGGATTACAGGCGTGGGCCACTGCGCCTGGCTCAAATGTGTTTAGAGCTCTGAAATCTGAATGACTATCACACTTGGAATTTTACTTAAGTTTTAGACAGTCCAAGCTAACAAAATGCTCATGCAGGTGGCTGAAGCTGACTGCAGTTCTAGTCTTACTGGAGCAGTGCCTCAAGCTTGGAAGCCCAGCTATTCTCAAAATGTGGAGGAGTTTGTCTTGAGCCAAATTGGCAATTGAACTCAGTTCATTATCTTTATGAATTTTAATTGTATTCGGAATGTGTTGATATTTAAGTCAGAGACTTCTACATACTTTTATCCAAGTATGTTCTGTGAAATATATAAAATTTAGCAAGAAGAGGTGGTAGCTATATGTTGGCTTTTAAAGCCTATTGATAAATGTTCAAAAGAAATGATAGTTATTACTTTAGTTAAGAAGTACTAGATTTTGGCCCAGTGTAGTGGCTCATGCCTATAATCCCAGCACTTTAAGAGGCCAAGGCGGGCAGATCACCTGAGATTGGGAGCTCAAGATCAACCTAGCCAACATGGTGACCCCACCTTTACTAAAAATACAAAAATTAGCCAGGTATTGTGGTACATACCTTTAATCCCAGCTACTAGGGAGGCTGAGGCAGGAGAATTGCTCTGACCCAGGAGGCAGAGGTGACAGTCAGCCGAGATCATACCACTGCACTGTAGCCTGGGCAAAAGAGCAAGACCCCATCTCCAAAAAACAAAAAACAGTACTAGGTTTTTCAATTATATAAGTCTTTGTTTTGTGGGGTTTTTAATTACATTTCTGCTCTCCTATTGATAATGTTCTTTTCTTTTTGTGACAAATCTTACTCTGTCCCCCAGGCTGGCGTACAGTGGCACAATCTCAGCTCAGTGCAACCTTTGCTTCCTGGGTTCAAGTGATTCTCCTGCCTCAACCTCTCGACTAGCTGGAATCACAGGCACCTGCCCCCACACCCGGCTAATTTTTGTGTTTTTAGTAGAGATGGGGTTTTGCCATGTTGGCCAGGCTGGTCTCAAACTCCCGACCTCAGGTGATCTGCCCACCTTGGCCTCCCAAAGTGCTGGGATTACAGGTGTGAGCCACCATGCCTGGCCTTGATAAATGTTCTTGATGTGAACCTTATTAATAGCTACTGTTTGAATTTCTGGAAGATATTGATTAATAACCCTTTAGAGTACTGATAGGCATTTAGTGTTTGCCCGTTAAAATTGGAAGCTATCCTGAAGGCAAGGACTGTGGTTTTATCCCATTTGTATACTTGGGTGCTTGTTACTGACTCAATTAGTAGTTGAACAGATGAAGAAAACTTCCATATGCCTTCCCCCTTTTCTCTGGCTTCAGTTCTGGAAAGGTGAGTCAAGTTAACAGGCAGGTGTTAGTGTGTGGTAGGTACGTGGGCCCAAACCTATGTCTAGTGAGGCTCTTTTATCTCTGCTAAAGGAGGCAGCACATCTGGTTGAACTAATGCAAGCTTCCCTACTTAACCCGCTGTGACTGATTGTTCTGTTTCTTTAGGAGAAGTTTTTGCAATATGTGGAAGCTGTGATGCTTTGGGAAACTGGAATCCTCAAAATGCTGTGGCTCTTCTTCCAGAGAATGAGACAGGTGAAAGGTGAGTATGGAAATGTTAGGTTACAGAATAACTGTGACATTAACCTTATAATTTTAGAGGCTTTTAAGGCATCTTGGCATTTTTAATTTTAGTTTTAATTTTTATCCAAATTATCATATTGAATAGTTTTTTTGTTTTTGTTTTTTTCTTTTGGCAGAGTCTTGCTGTGTCACCCAGGCTGGCGGCTGGCATGCAGTGTTGCAGTCACAGCTCACTGCCACCTCCACCTCCTGGGTTCAAGTGATTCTCCTGCCTCGGCCTCCCAAGTAGCTGAGATTACAGGCTCCTGCCATCATGCCCAGTTAATTTTTTGTATTTTTAGTAGAGATGGATTTCACCATGTTAGTCAGGCTGGTCTGGAACTCCTTACCTCATGATTTGCCCACCTCGGCCTCCCAAAGTGCTGGAATTATAGGCGTGAGTCACTGTGCCCAGCCCACATTGAATAGTTTGATAAGTGAAATAATTTTACAAAATTTGTGTGAAAAAAACAGGTTCCTTTCTTGCCCTTAATTCCTACCTCTCAACCACTTTCGTGAATCCATCATTAAACTTTGTATGGGCCCAGTGGATGGGGAAAGGTAAATCAGGGTGTCAGTCACTCTTCTGCAATTAGATGTGATCTCGGACAGCTGATGTCTGTAGGCCTCAGTTACCTCATCAACACAGTAAAGGGGTTAGCATAGATCAGTGGATGTCAGCAGAGGTGGCACTTACCCCACTGTAGATAATTGGACGTCTTATGGGTTTTCTTAAATAGCATGTAGGTATATCCAGTGCCAGATGAGGTGATTGCTAAGGCTCTATTTTTCTGTAGAGCAGCATGACTAAAAATGTAGCCTGTGCACCAGTACCAATCCAAAAGACTTAAAAAAAAAAAAAATCAATCCACGATGTGGGAAATACAAAAATTGAGAGCAAGCATTTTTTTTTTTTTTTTTTAAGACGGGGTTTCACTGTGTTGGTCAGGCTGGTCTTGAACTCCCAATGTCAGGTGATCTGTCCGCCTTGGCCTCCAAAGTGCTTGGATTACAGGCGTGAGCCACCATGCCCAGTGCAAGCATTTGTAGATGTGTATAACGCTTGGACTCCATGCATGTCACTGTGGACACATCCCATTGAACTGGGTATGTAGATCAGAATGTTGGTTACCAGATGGTTTGAGTAAAACCAGCAAACAAAAACTGCTGGTCATTCACAGCAAATAGTTTGAAGGGCACTGGTGGGAGAGCAAAGGAAAATAACAAAGGAAAGTAAAATAATAACAGTAATGTAAGCTAAGGGAAAGAAAATGAAAACACACAGAACTCTTCTTTTTTTTTTTTTAGTTTGTTACTAGTGTGACATATTTTCTCAGCCAATTCTTAGCTCTTCTTATAAGAGTTCTATTGGTGGTATTATTTTAGTAGTATATATTATTTCCTGGTGTTTCACAGACTGCTATTCCCTTCAAGGGGCTATTTTTTCTTTGATTTTCAGATCAGCCACTCTGGTCTGAAGTGAAACCTCTTATCTTTCTGAACTTGTCTCTGAAACACACCCCTGCCTGTCCTAAGTCAGTTTCAGCCCACTTGCTCAAAACCATGTGAACAGGATGAGGCACTTAACAACTTTAAGAGGACCAGTTCATATGTTGCTCATGTACAATTAGATAGAACTGATTCACTGTTTATCTGTAGCAGATAAACAGTGTTTCACAGGGAGAAGGAAGTAGATGATGCAAGAATCCATGTGCCTTTAGACAATATTTGTGAGATTTAGAATTGTGATTTTTTGGAATTTTAATGTGCTCTACATCTATGTCTTCTGTGTCCCTCTCTTTCAGGGAGTGTCTTAAGCTTTCCCTTACCAGCTCTCCCTGCCCACAGGCTCATGGCAGCTAGAGCTCTCCTGGAATTTTTTTCTACTTACAGATAACTTGAAGGTCATGGTATTGCTTTATAGTACTGCTAAAGATGTGGGTCACTTGTGGTTTCATTTGCCCTCCTTGTAGATTTTATGGTATTTTGGGAAAGGATATGAGGGCAATTCAGAATTGGGCAGCTGCACTAAACCATTATATGACTACCCGTCTTTCCTGGTTTTGATTTAATTTCATCAGATTATTTTGTCTTCAGTTCACTGAATAGTTCTGGTTCCCTTTTTTATTTTTTGAGACGGGGTCTCATTCTGTCACACAGGCTGGAGTGCCGTGACTCAATTTCAGTTCACTCTAATCTCAAACTCCTGGGCTCCAGTGATATTCCTGCCTCAGCCTCTTGAGTAGCGAGGGCTATTAAGTGCACAACATCATGCCCAGCTAATTAAAGCTTTTTGTAGAGATGAGGTCTCACTTTGTCAAGACCCAGGCTGTTTCTGAACTCCTGGGCTCAAGCTATCCTCTCTGTTCGGCCTCCCAACATGCTGGGTATAAGCCACCATGCCTGAGTTCTGGTTCCTTTTTAAGAAGTAGAGCAGGCTGGGTGTGGTGGCTCACGCCTGTAATCCCAGCACTTTGGGAGGCTGAGGCGGGTGGATCCCCTGAGGTCAGGAGTTCAAGACCAGCCTGACCAATATGGTGAAACCCTGTCT